CTGTTCTGAATCTTGAATGTTGTGTCATGTCTTTGGTCACACTGGAAACATTCAGGAAAATAATGCTTAGTGAAGTAGCTAAATGAGATTGAACACTTGTGGCTGAGGTAATGTCTATGTGTTTTGGAATGCACCATCTGCATCACTGTCAAGAAATGCTGGAAAGTACTGCCTTGTAGATCATCATTCTTGTGGTTTGTCTTCAACGCTACAAATCGAAAAGTGCTTTCATCTGGTTGGAAATTTGAGCCGTAAATATTGTATGAAAAGAACATCCTCACTCTGGATTTGGCCTAGAACGACCTCTAACAAAAACCTGCTGCTGTGTATAGTTCCAGTTTTAGCTTGGTTCAACCATAGATATGAAGGATGTGGAAAACGTTGATGAGGTAGCCTCTCAGAAAGCCTTGTGGACGATAAGTACTGCTTGTACCTCAAAAAGACTCTGCGTTCTAGATCTGTGGAAGAGCAATGTTAGAGGCCTGCTGTGGGAAGAGACCATTGTGATAAATCGGAACTTGGGAGTTTTTCTGTCCATTTGGATATGATGAATTTGAACGCTTATGAGAATTTCAGGCACTTAAGAAGCAACAGAAGCACTATGCAGGCTTCAAGTAGTCTGTAAGGAATTGGTTCACCTGTCTGGCCAGGGGGAAGAGTTCTGCATCACCGGCATGTAGCTCATTCTGTCATTCCAAAGGAATTCAAAGTTGCAGCCAGTAGAAGAAGCTGAATTTGATAGATCCTGCAAGAGTGGATTTGGATTTGATTTTTTGCTTTGCAAATGTTCAGTCCAATGTTTCCCTCCTTTCTGGGTGGAGGGAATGAAGGGAGTTAACTGCATGTCATTGTAAAATGGGACAAGCATAGACTAAGCTTGCTTGTTGGAAGATTAATTTCAGTCCTGCAGAAAGAGGTCAAGAGATAATGGTTTTGAAGCAGGGGTGGAGACTTTTCATTTAAATTACTTTCTCTGCAGAATTGGATCAGTTAGCATGTCTGAGCAGCACAGAAGAAATGTTAGAAGTACTTTATCGTAGCAAATTATTAACCTTCTTTAAGAAGAACCTTAATTGCATGGTAGTCAATTCTACGTACTGATGTCTTGAAATGCACATGCTTATCTGGACACAAGTGTGAATACTCCATGTCTGTAGTGGACATTCTGTGCAGTAGGCTGTTCTCATCATCTTTTGATTTTAAGTCCTGAGGACAAAATGGGTAATTAAAGAGAGAATATGACTTCAGGGGAAACACCTGGGACAAGTCAAAGATTTAATTCCAGTGTGGACCTGCCAAGCCAGCTGGACTGTGTCAAGAGGTTGGAAGCAAATACTACAATCCAAACAGTCTGAACTCAGTGCTGGAGAAGGTTGTCGTCTTCTAATCAACAGAAAGTGTTTCCAGTTCTTTCAGTGATAAAGCAATATAATACATAGAAGCTCGGCCTAGTAAGAGATGATCTCCCGTTCTTGAATATATTTGGTGAAAGGAAGCCCACTTGGTGTGCCATCAAGGAATGTGCAGAAATGGTGGAGTCACTGCAGCATCAACAGTAAAATGATCCATTGGAGAGGGAAGCCCTGTGTGCTGTTAGGTTGCAATTTCCTGCAAGTTTCTGTAACAGTTTCTTATGGAATACTTGATTTCTGCCCCACTCCAAAGCTTCAAATTTCATTCATCTTCTCTGTTAGAACATGGAACAGTTTGCAGGACTTAACCAATTCTGTTCAGTTAAGGTTCCCTGGCCCAGCTTACAAAGATTTGTAGATTGTTCATTCCACTTACAGGAGTTTTTATGATTGCAAATCAAGTACTACCCTTAAATGACTTTTATCTTAAATTACTTTCCTGCTTTTTAGCACCGAGGTGACTGCACTTTATGGTGCCAATACCATACTAAAAATGTTACTATAACACTCTGAATCAAGGTTATAAACACCAACTAATGAGTGTTTGTGTTGGCAGCTGGTGCTTTGGGCTCACTGGAAAAAATTTCTTATTCTGAGATGGCTTGTTTGAATTTTGTCTGTTCAGTGAGATGAGACCTTTTTTCTTTGACCTAAGAACCAAAATGAAGTTGTCCCCTCTGCTTTAAAACGGGACAAACTTTGACAAAGCTCTTTTCCCAATAAACAAAAAAAAAACCCCAAAACCCAACCAACCAAAAAAACCCCCCAAAACCACCTTGGACCTATTGAAAGGTCTTCTTGGAACTTAGGGATAGCTTTTTAAGACTGCTTACCTAAAGCCATTTCAAAGCAAGCCTATCTTTTGCCTGGATAAGATGTATAAGTGCAAGGCAGAAGGAGATAGGAGGATAAATGATAAGGAAAACTGTACCTCCTACATAAAAAACCAAAAGAACTTGAACCTAGCATCCAGGCTTTCAGAACCAATGCTAGCAGAAGGGGATGGTGTTGGTTTCCAAACTTGAAATAAGGTGTTAGGAATCTGCCATGAAGTTGAGATCAGCAGTGGTAATGATGGCAAAGATTAAGGCTTCAAGCCCACTGTTTCGAGAAAGATGACTGAGACAGATGAATGATGATGACAAAATAATGTGGTACAAACCAAGAAGTTCCAGTGATTAGAGGTACTAATGCTCGCTCCTGGAATGTTTCAGCTTGTCATGCCAAAAGGCTTTTTGAGGAACCTTCCATAGGTAAAATACTTCACTAAAGTCAAAGCCAAGACCAGTATGATTTTGCTAGTACTTTTTTCCTCACAAGGGATGAAGTTGGACCTGTGGATATACATATAGGTTTTTCAAACAGTAGCTGCAACTACTGTATGGCAGAATACATGAGCTACTACAGTGGATGATTTCAGAGAGGGCTAGATTTCAGCAGAGAATGAAAAAGATTCAGTACCTTGTTAAACAACTGTAAGCAGTTCAGAGTAAGCAATTACTAGCAGTCATGTTCTTGTTCATTTACTGCAGCAGAGAAGTGCAATAAACACTTCTGCATGTATAATTCATTAGTTGTCATAGCAGAGTTAATATTTAACTGCTAAAAAAGGCAAATAAACCACGTTTGCCAGGATAGATGCACAGTAACGTAACTTCAGTAGAGCTTCTGGTCTTGGCTCTGCTATAATTATCAAATGTGTGGTTTCTGAAAGATTATACAGAAATTTGATTAATTAGGTTAAGTTACTCAGTATGTCGTACCACTTGCTCATGTTTGAGATATAATAGTTGGCTGCAGAGTTCCTGTTATTGCAGGTCTATATTCCAGAAAAAGCTTCCACATTTTTTCCACAAAAACCCACACACACAACAAAACCCCAAACAAACAAAATAAACCCCCAAACTACAAAGCATCTCCACTCTGGAAAAGCAAGTCATAGAGTAAATTGTGACGGTCACCTTTTCTGAAAACCCAGCTTGAAACAGTAGAAAAGAGGGGTCAATTACCATACTCAGTCTGCTTTGTAGATGCTGAAATTACTTCTAAGTACTTCAGTGATCACCGTTTTATCAGGACATCAAGAAAATGTACTAAACGGCCTCCCCATTGCCAGAAACCCCAACTGAAGCTAAGATACTTTCAGCTTAATCCTGTAACTACTGGTGCAGTCCTAGTTTGGTAAAAAAGTCCGTGGCAATTGAAAGTAAATTGGAGATCATAAATCGTGTTTCATTTACAGAATAAATGACATGGGGCTGCCGTAATCATTGGACACTTGTGTTTTCACTGAAAGTCCTTTCTGATGCTGCTCTGTATTTTTTTTTTTTCGTCAATACTACAAGAATCAAGTATGGTAGAAATTAGGCCCAACATGCTGCTGAGTACGTGGGGACTAATACTGAAGACTGAAATCGGTTCTAGAGTTGCTCTCTAACTTTATAAAATGGAAGCCCTATAACAGTGAGGCAAGAGGGGCTTAATTTAAGAAATACAAACATGACTGAGCAGTAAGTAAAGCAGCTTCTTCTTTAGTCATTAGATGGGAAAGCAATTAAAGTGGAACAAGCAACCAAGCCATCCTTTGAAAGTGGTGGTAGGCGTGGGCCGCCACCCCCTCCACGAAGCAGAGGTCCTCCCAGGGGCCTTAGAGGTGGAAGAGGCGGAAGTGGCGCGAGAGGACCACCTTCAAGAGGGAGTCACTTGGGTATGTATTTACCTCTCTCATTATATACTTCGACAACATACAAGACAATCCCATTGGAAGATGACAATAATCCTACTGGAAAAAAAAAGTCAAACAGCCGAATAGTGCACTCCTTTTTCTTTATTAAAATGATGAAATATGATCTCGGCAGTTTAGACAAATTTTTTATTAGGCAAGTACACCTTAAGAAAAGGCTTTCAAATATGAAGATTCCCTTCTACAACTAACACTCCACTTGACTTTTGGCTATGAAAGAAAAGCAAAACTCCTGCCCTGCACGTGAGAAAGGAAGCTTTCTGGTATTCAAGTTGAAAAAGCGATTCTCTTCCACCAGGGAAAGGGAACTGCCTTTCATTCTTACTAGCAAGAGGTCTAAACTTAATAAATTCTAGGACTGATCCTTCCAGATCATAGTAGTAATTAGGGAAGCAAAGCCTTGTGTGTTATTATAAAATAGTAGTGTGTTGAGTTGAAGCTTTCTGAAGTGGAAGGATAGTACCTTACTTGATACTGGATATTCTTTAAACTAAGATACAGCTATTTATTCAGAGACTTTTCAGTATCAAAACTATCGCTTAAAAAGCAAGCAGCACCTGAGGTAAAACAGTAAAATCTGTAATGCAGGAAAGAAACCCTGGAGGTAGTGAAAACTCCTGTCTTGAAGAGTCTGTGTAGTAGGTTCTACAGACTCTCTAGTGCCTCTTCCCTCTCTGTAGGATCTTCTCTAGTACATCTTCCCAGGTGGCTCTTGTCTTCTGAGAACAGTAACTTGTTGAGCATTTAAGCTGTGACTGATTACAGATATCAGCTGTCTTTCTCCCTTGTGTCACACCCTGTGGCTTTTGGATAAGTTCTAAAAGACAGTTCTTCACAGGAATTTAGGCTATGGAAAAGTTAACTTGATGGGCTCTCAGTTCTGCCAGTAGCATCTAGTAGTGGCCAAAACATAAGAGAAGGCTTTGAGGTCTAATTGTAGAGGTTTACTGTTGATCACACAGTGGTAATAACAGTGCTTAGGTTATTGTAGTTCAGGCTTTAGGGGCATACAGGTGGATTATCACAGAAGTAACAAGTTGTTTTATGGCTTATCCTTCTAGGGTCTTCTCGAGGACCACTTCCTATGAAGAGAGGTCCACCTCCACGAAGTGGAGGCCCTCCACCTAAAAGATCTGCGCCTTCAGGACCAGTGCGTAGCAGTAGTATGGGAGGAAGAGGTAAGGACCTCCTGAATTATTTTGTTGCTTAGTCAGCTGTAGCACCTTAGTCTTTCTTCAGAAACTGTTGCAAATCACTGAGTCTTAACTTAAATCTGCTGTGGGATGGTGTGTAGATTTTTTTTTTAATCTAACAGTTCTCTTCATACCGATAATCATTTTGTAGCTGTTCAGAACAATTTGGTGTGATCTGATGAGTATGTTCCTTCTAGTGCTGCTTTAAAACTGTACAAGCAGAAATGTATTACAAATGTAGGCTACAAAGATATGTTTGAATTGCTATGAACAGTCTGCTCATAGTTACCTTGAGGAGTCTTCTGTATGGCTAAGTGCTAATTAACTTAAAAAATTTGGACTGTTTCTCTTAAGCTCCTGTGTCACGTGGAAGAGACAGTTACGGTGGTCCTCCACGCAGAGAACCAATGCCATCACGAAGAGATGTCTACATGTCTCCAAGAGATGACGGTTATAGCACTAAAGACGGGTAAATTCTTTTACTAATTTAGTTTGGCCTTTGTGTTCAGAGAAGGATTTGAACCCTGATTTTTTTGAGGTATGACACACAGCTAACATCTCAGTTCTTGTTCTTTGTAGTTACTCAAGCAGAGATTATCCCAGTTCCAGGGATACACGGGACTACGCGCCACCTCCACGAGACTACGCGTATCGTGATTATGGTCATTCCAGTTCACGTGATGAATACCCATCCAGGGGATATAGGTACCTACTGTTGGATTTTTCTCCCTGTCATTTTATTCTTGCTGTGATCTCACTGATTTGTACTAAGTCTTAGTAGTCTTTCCTCCTATAGCGATCGTGATGGATACGGTGGTGGACGCGACAGAGACTACTCGGATCATCCAAGTGGAGGCTCCTACAGAGATTCATATGAGAGTTATGGTAAGAATCCATTTTGAGGATCATACAGTAATTTGTACAGGTGTCATAAAAATGGACTTTTACTAGGTTGCTTGTGTTTTAGGGGGAAGTGGCGTGCTTTTTTTCCCCTTACAGTGAAAGTGCAGTTGTTGGTTATCATTTGATCATCTTGTTAAATAAGCTATAAGCTAAAGAAGCAAAGTCTACAGTTCAGAATTGCAACTATCTCTGGAAAATATGGCTGAGTTTCTTCTCTAAAATAACAAGCTGTTCTGGAATACCCAGTAAAGAGCCTGCCTGAATAAGCACCGTCTTCATTCCTTCAGAGTCTTTAAATCCACTCACTGCCTGATATGCAATCCCTACTTTAAATACCATTAACGTGGCAGATTATATTAAGAACATCTCAATACATACAAAAGAGTAGCAGTAAACATTTAATGCAGCAATTCTGTAAATTCAGATTGAAATTGTTATATATAACTTATGGTGTTGCCATATTACCTGACCATTGACCCTGCAGGTAACTCACGTAGTGCTCCACCTGCACGAGGGCCCCCGCCATCTTATGGTGGAAGCAGTCGATATGATGATTACGGCAGCACACGAGATGGATATGGAAGCCGAGAAAGTTACTCAAGCAGCAGAAGTGATGTCTACTCAAGTGGCCGTGATCGTGTTGGAAGACAAGACAGGGGTCTTCCCCCATCCATGGAAAGGGGCTATCCACCTCCTCGTGATTCTTACAGTAGTTCAAGCCGCGGAGCACCCAGAGGTGGTGGCCGTGGTGGAAGCAGATCCGATAGAGGTGGAGGCAGAAGCAGATACTAAAAACACTCTTAAACTTTTGGACCAAGACAGATTACTTCTCAAAAAAAAAAAAAAGTGGAAGTTGTTCTATCTTTACTACCAGAGGACTACTAAAAGGAAAAGTTGTTTTTACCTTTTTTTATTGTTGCCTGTTAAGTTTTCCCCTCCATGACTTTTATGCTTTTGTGAGGAAAAGTTAAACCAATGTTTAATTTCATTTCAAAATTGTTAACATTTCTTTCGAAAAGCAGATGTTAAATGTATAAAACTTGAGCTGTGTACTAGTGTTGTAATTTTCAAAGTAAAGTTTCCCTGAAATGCCACAGTTCCCATCTGATTTTCCTCATGAATGGAACAAGCAGTTCTTAAAGATCTTCCACACAACATCCAACCATCTAACATGGAGATGGATTGTTCTACATGTTCAGCATCTCATTCTTAAACAAAGTATTGCTTGTGATTTGGAGGGTGGTGGGGATGTTCCACACAAAGTTCAGTTTTGCCTAGCATTTGAAGTCACAGTGTTCTCAGTACAAAATGCCTTCAGATCCTTGTGTAAAGAAAAATAGAGGATTTCATTCACTTAACCCGAAAAAAGCAAGTGGATAATACTATTTTCTGCCTTCCTACTGTTTCATGGGGAGTTTGAAAAGATCTCCCATCCAAATAAATCATGTACATGTAAGTCAGCTACAGAATACTGTAAAAATAAAAAAAATTGACCAATTCCATCAAAGAAGCTGCAAAACGATGCTTACTCATACTGTTTCAAATTTTTGCAACTCTGTAGTGTTTCACTTTTAAAGGAACATCTTTGATTCCAAAGGAGAAAATAAGATAAGCAAAGAAGTCTTTCTCTCCAACTTCTCAAAGGCTTATGGCTTCATAAAAACAAGTGAATCTTTCAGCATTCCACAGCTGATTTAAAGCATCAAATGCCTGTGAAACAGCAAAGATGGTAAGCAAAGCAAACTAGTTTTTCAGTCTAAGTCAAAATTGAACCAAGTTATCTTCCTCTAGTACAGTAAGACAAGCTGCACGTTATGGCAATGGAAGTGCTGTCTAGATTTTAAAAAAAAAAAAAGGAAAAGAAATACTTCAATACATTAGAAGTTCTCAAAATTCAACATTTCTTCTTGGATAAAAGCATTTATGGCATCAATTTTGAAACTAAAGACGTGATGCAGCTCACTATAGACAGAATATTGCCAAGTAGGGTTGGGAGGGGGTGTTTTGTGCCCAGTATCTTTCAGTGAAGATGCTTAAAGAGGCTGCATATACTATATTAAACAAAATTAAAGCCTTGTGAAATCAGGAATTGGTTTAGATTGACAAATATCAGCTCGGCTATTGGGAGTTTGAAGCAAGCCATTGCAAACTTGACGTTTAGTTGGATGCCTGACTCTGTTTAGTTTGACACTGCGTTACAGGGATATCTAGTACATGTGGCAGAACCTGTGGCAAGTTGTTATGACTCAGGTAACGCCATGAAGTTCAAAAGATGCTCTTGAATAGTAGACATGAAGACCTCCAACTAAAAAAAAAAAAAAAAAAAAAAAAAGCAGCACAAACCCAAAAGCTTTGTACTACTGTTTAGTCCTCAGTAAATTTTGTCGTTCAACTTATGGATTTAACATGGCAGTGCACCATTGAAAAGGAATGAGAATCCATAAGCCATGCAACCTGTCACTAAGCCATTCCAGTCCATTCCAAGCCAGTGAATCCTCCACCACTTAAAAGAGAAGTAGTAAAACTTGCAACAGAATAATCTGCAAACCCAAGCTTGTGACTTTTTGGAAATGGGGGGAAAGCACTATAGGTTGACTCATGATGTAAAATGTACTTTTCTCAATTTGTTGTATCTTCTCTTGACTGCAGGGTGATAACTTCTAGAAGAGAACTGCTGAAGTAATGCTGGTTCGTCTGTGTTGATGGCAGAGATGAGTAGTGCCTGTACCAATACATAAGGTAAATATGCTAGTATAGTAGCTGGAAGGAACATTCCTGGTGGTTCTGTGTTTATGGATTGGGATGGATGTTCTTGGTGGCTAAACAGTGTTATCGACTTTTCCTGTTTGACTTTTGGAGGAGGAGGTTTAAGTAGGCTTTTTAAGCCTACCAAGTTAGGAGTGACAGAGACATCTCATGTGCAGAAATTGGTCCAATTTAGGTATGACTGAATGTTAAATACAAGTGCACTTTAAATCGTAACTTTAAAACATGCAGAGAGTACTTAGTCTAGGAATCTTCGTAAGACCAGACCATTAAAATCTGAACTGGAATAGTAAATACCAGTACAGACACTTCATCAGTCTGGTTAAATGTGCGGAACATGCAATTTAATGATTATACTGAGTATAATCTTTGATTAGGAATTAATCTCCGCAGAGGTCCTTGGATTAAATTGTAGCCTTCCAGGCATCTCCAGAATGGCTTAAAACTTTGTAGGTCAGCTGTGTTTCATGACTTTGAAGCCTATCCTAAAATTATTTTTCAAGTAGATGTAGGAGCAACTGTTTTCTGACTTTAGATGGAAGAGTGATTGTCTCTTCTGTTTCTCTGATAACTCAGCAGGGAAGAAAAAAGAAGTGGAAATGGCTGTCGTGCTAATACTGCCTTTCGGAAAGCTTTTCTACTAAATAGTTGTTACTCAAAAAAAAAAAAAAGCTTTTAATGTGTGCAGAATCTTAAAATCTAGTATGGAGTGAAGACTGAGGAGAAATGCCTTTTCCAAAGCAAGTATTTATGTAAGAACTACGTGTACTTTCTGTGTATTTTTTCAAAGTACACTGTAAACGTAAGAACATACTTTGCTGTTAGTTTCAAATACCACTTTCTTTGGTGAAAAGAAAAAGCTGTAGTTGGTGTTGGATCTGATGCGTGGTCACTGATTTCAGGGAAGTTCATTTTGTGTGAAGGATAGGTTCTTTTGCATACTGTGAAATGTTTGTAATCTCGGCTGCCTTATGGTTTATTGAGAGTCTCAGCAACAGCAACTAAATAACTCCGCAATGCTTTTGTCAGAGTATGGCGGTAATATTTTGTAAGTACTCCCAATAAACTGCTACTGTTACCTTGATAAAGAAGACAAAAATAGGCTTTTATTTCAGGGTACTGGATTGTATTTTAGATCAAATAGAGAAGCATCACGGGTATTTTCAGTTCTGAGTCAAAGGAAGCATATAGTTAAATAAAAGTTGCTACCTGACCAACTTTTTGTTCTATCACTTGATAAAATTTCAGCCAACCAAAAAAGCATTACCTTCCTTGGCTTCGTGTTCCTCTTAAGTGTTACTGTTGAAATACTTAAATGACAAATCCTACTGGAAAGGATACCATTTGAACTGTAGGTGTCTTTTTAAAGATAAAGAAATCTAACCTTTTTTCATTCAAAAATGTTGTCGGTAGTCCTGCAAAAAATTAGCAGGAGTCAGTTTTAAATTTACAGTTTGAGGCTGATCCAGATCATGAATCTGCTAATAAAGAGACGGAATATTGTCTTCAATATGCAGCATCCTAGGCAACTCTTGAAAGGTTCTGCCAAATCATTATATAGGTTGTGTTGGGATGTTTTCAGCTTTTTTGTACGCGTGTTCCATGTTAGCTTCAATTCTCTGTATTAGCTGTGAAGCTGAGGGTTAATTACTCATGGCAAGCAAAAAAGCTTCTCTCTTCTGGAAAAATGAAGTGCTTTTTTTCTCAATTCACTAGGTGTGTTTTGTCACTTACCGGTGGTAGTGGGCCATGCTGTAATTTAATAGATACTAAAGATAAAAGCACACTTTCTTAGCATACTCTGCAGCTTATAAACGTTTCCAAATTCTTAACATGCATGGTGACAACGTTAGTTTAGGGAGCAATCAATAGAACTTAACTGACTGTGAGGCAGGAAAAATAATACTAAGTTTTTAAAAAGTGAGGATGTACTTGTACTAATTCAGCAAGCTGTTCGCCTTTTCATGATCACAGGTTTTATTTAATTTATAGCACAACATTACTTACAAATTAGTATCAGTGAGTATGCCAGTTTATGACAGGACTCCCGAGTATCATGCTGAGACGGTCAAGAGCTAGTGGGATTTTGTGGTAGGCAAGAGTTTGGAGGGGGATATGCAGAGGAATTACAGAGGCTTTACTTAGTACTTGCTCTGGAGACAGTGTTGTACAAGAAGTGTGCATTAATACAAGTAGTCCTCAGACCGTTTTGATGATAGTTAGCTATTGATGTGTTTTCATACTGTTGGGACAAATTGAATAGAATCCAAATGTAAGCCTTGTGTATATAAAAACAGTGAACTAGAGATGATATAGCTTTTTGGGCTGTCTCTTGGTTTCTGAGAGTGTACTAACTTGCATTTCCTTTTTTCAGTTATGGTGACTAGAAGGCGGCAGTGCAGCAGTGGATATGCATTGGAAAATCAAAGGATAACAAAGTGCAACTGATAAAGCTTGGCTTTGGAGTGTGGTGTTACCCAGTATTTGTTTTAGAGGATTGTGTTACCATTCATGAATTGCCTTTGAAAGTAGCACTACGAATCTCTTGGATATGAAAAAAATTCTCAGGTGGAAGTCAGTTGCTGTCTGCCGCAGCTAACATCTTCCAAGAGTCAAGAGTGAGCCTTTCTTTTTAGTCAGTGTACACGCATCGGTAGATTCTGCAGCAGAAAAATACTCCAGGGTTACCTTTTACATAGGGTACTTCCTGTTTAGGCTGAAAAAAAGAGCAAGTTAAAGTGAGTTTTAATCCTCTAAAATACGGAGAACTAAATTGTTACAAATTCTTGTTCACTAAAAAACAATTAAAAGTTTTACTGTGTTCTTACATTAATGGTTTTGTAATTGTCCAGGCCTTCTGGATGAGAGGAAAGAAGTGTTGAGGTACTGAGGCGATATTAGTGACAAATGCCCAGAATAATTAGTGGTGTTGTATGTACTGACATCTTGCAAAACTCCAGGCAGCACTGCATCTGTTCCAACAAGATGCTTTCTTCAAAACTTTGCCTTGGTTTTGATGGATTTTTATTTTACATATATGTTGATGTGCCAGTGTACGAGAGAGGAATCTTCAGGCACCAGTATTTCATGTAGAAAACTAACTTCAGATTGGCTGAATTACTTAAACAGTCACGGCTAATCAAGTTCACGTTGACTTTTTCCGTGGTAGACATAAACTGATCTCATTTAAACAACTAACACCCACTTTATAATGAGTAGCTAAAGAAAAAGCATGCATACCTTGTCTAGAGATTTAAAACTACCTTTGGGTTTTGGGCTAAGAATATCACTTTAAACTTCAGTTATGGACTGCAGATTCTAGAAGTAAGTCTGCCTGTATGTAGCAGATGGGTAGAACCGCAGTATTTCCCAGGGCTAATAAATCTACTGTTAAACAAAAGCATTATGGGTTTTGTTTGGTTTTTTTATATTAAAATACCTGTTACTCAGCAACACTCGCATGGTAGAAAAGATGTCTGGTGTTACGTGTTGACGGAGTGGTCTCAGAGTATCTTCTGCAAGAATAACACGCAGTAACGTTAGGGAGACTCCTTTTTCAGCAGTAGCTTATAGTCTGGATGCTGCTCTTTAGGCTAAACCAGATCATCCTAACTAAAATCTAGTGCCAGCATATGAACTATCATACGAAAAAAGATTGATACCTGCCTAAAATGCTAAATAATGAGAATGTACCTAACCAATGTGAGTTAGCTCATGCGCTGACTCAAGACTTGATCGTTGAAAGTCAGTAGTTCAAGGCATCAGTAGGTTCTGCAGCAGAAAAATACCCCAGCGTTTGTGCTGGGCATTCTCCCTCTGCTGAAAAAGTGAGCAAGTTACATCAAAGTGAGCAGCTTTGGGGAGAATCACTCTAGAATGTTCTCTGAACGTCTGGATGCGGTTCTTAACTTGCTCCTGTCACTGTGCTGTTACTGGTGTATAGGCCATCGGAGTCCTTTGATAATTGGGTATAGACCACTCTCAGCCTCCCCTTTTTTTATTTTTTAAATAATTCTATGCCTATGTAGTTACCACTGGTGTAAATCAGTCTGCAAATAAAAGTGTATTTGTAACTTGGGGGTGGAGGCTGACTCTGCAAGAGATGGTTGATGATTCATTTGATTTGTTTCTGTCAGCAAATAACCAAAGTTGAAATCTTTTCCAAAGACCAGACCAGAAATTCCTTGTTGCTTGGTGGCTATACCCTCGTACCTTGGGGTTGCCACAGGATTAATTTTAGTGTAGGGGTGGGTGAACAAGCCAGGAGGCTTTTAGATGGGTCCTTTCCGAAAGATGTAAAATTGAGCTTGAGGTGGCTAAACGGAAATGCCTTCAGTTTGGGGGCTTTCTGAATATGCATATGTCTCGAGGTCTTCGCAGCAGTTGGTGAGTGTTCAAGATGTGGCAAGTATTTTCATTTAATTGTAGTTGCAACCATTAACGTCTGCGTGGCTGCAACAACTGTGTGTGAAATGGCCATGAAACTGAACCTGCCTGTCCACCCAAAAACTGGTTTGCTTTAGAGGAGGGAGTGGGTGAAGTACTCCTCTGCATTCAGGTTGGTAACGCTGAGTTTAATGAAGCAGGTGTGTTATTTTCCCTGATTTTAAATATTTCTGCTCTTTACATCAGAAACGGGTATGTTCTGATGAGTGGATGTCTTCCATGTACAAACCATTGTCCCCATAGATGAATGAGCATTACCAGTTGTCTTGCCTACTACAGATTTGGAAAAAGAAAAGGCAAGCTATGAAAGGAGACTGCAAGTACTCACTTGGCAAAATCGTAGTGCTCATGAGAACTGGAAAAAGAAAAACCCACAACCCTGAAGTTCTTGTAATTGGTCATAAATTTGAAATGTTTTGCACACATCGGGATAGTTGTAGATGTTCTTCACCAGATGGCGTGAGTTCTACAATTTAGTTTCAGCCAGTTTTATTGTTCGCACTGGCTGCAGCTACATGTTACTCGTATTGCCACACAACGGAGAGCGGGAACTCATCCCCACATCCTCATGAAGGTCAAAAGCCTGTCTAACCCGAACAGGGCAATTCTGATTTCTTACTGGTGGCTGTTGAAAATTATCCTTACGTAGGTCCTGGTACCAGTCATAAGACCTGGAAAGTGGAGACACAAAACCATGTGCATTTATTGCATCTATTTTATCCTTTTGCTGTTCTGTTTCTCCCTACCCTTTAAATTACTAGCCTGAGCAGGTTGAGAGCGCTGATGTCTTTGAAGACAGTTGCTTCAAGTATCAGGGTTAGGAATTGGCTCAGCATATTGTCACAGAAGTTCTGGTCTCTAGGATAATTTGTTCCTGTTGTATCGCTTCAATCCATGATGCTCCAACTTGTTTGGCTCATAAACAGAACCGCTACGGTTTCCATCTGTTCTGGTGAAAGGACAGTTAAAAAGGAGAAAAAAATGGCAAGAAGACGGGACCAGAGCAGGGTGGAAAACTGTACTCCGTACAATGGATCCTGAAGAGCTGGTGGAAAGGGACATTTTAATAGGGCAAGGGACATGATATAGGGTAAGTGAAACAGTGGGGAAGTTTCATTCTCAGCTTTGGGTGACTTGAATTTATGAAATTTTTGAAGTTACACAGATGTTTGAGATACTACCATCTTCCAAAAACCCATTTTGGATTAATGCGCGCTTCTTGTAGAAAACAGTTGAAAACCCAAATTTTTTCTACAAAAAGTGCATGATGAGAATTTATTCTCAAAAATGAAATCTTGAAAATAGTAAACTATAGAAGGCAATTCTAGTAATGAGGTTTGCCATATAAAGTTGAAAAATAAAAAGTTAGTGTGACGTTTCCCCCCAGTCATCTTTGGCGTGAAGTTCAACTTTAATGCTGCAAATACCTCATTATTTTCGGTATTCAAGACAAATGTATGTTTACTTCTTTGGGCAACAGCTACAAGTTAAGACCGAGTTTACCAGACGATAGGATGCCAGCTGCCACGAGGAGGAAGTCGCCAGGCAAGATCTTTTTGGTGGAAAAAGTGCTCCATCAAATACTATTATTTTCAATGATGTTGCAGATGTGTAGCTGAAGACCTGCTTTTCGCGTTCTCTCTTCAAAGTAACAGTGCTAGAAACTACTAAAAAGTTTCTTACCTTGAGAGTAACGATGCTGCTGGTTCTTAGGATTTGGTGAGCTGCTGTGCTGAGCCAAAAAAAAAAAGTAGTTTCACACTTGAGTTCTGCAAGCAGCAGCAGGGGCAGGAAGATGTAATCACGGATGTGGGTTCCCGCAAGCTGCTGCACAGGAGAACTGCGCTGGCGGCAGAACTCTCTGCGATGAATCCAGAAGAACAAATTGTAACGTGGCTTATTTCATTAGGAGTTTTAAATTCCCCTAAGAAAATAGTAGATGATCCGCAGGAGTTCCTGAAAACGTCTCTGAAAGATGGAACCGTGCTTTGTAAGCTCATTAATCGACTTCTTCCGGGATCTGCAGAGAAGGTAACTCGTTTAAGATGTGTTTTGCTAGCCTGAAACGGAGCACTGCTCAGTAAAATGCTGCCCTCATCATTTTGAGGTACGTTTTCCTTTGGTAAATAAGATGAGCCAAGGTGTATTGGAGATGGATGTTTTACATTTCAGTTACCAGATGTATCTAACTGAGGGCAAAGTCCGACTGTAGCTTTAGTTCTTCAATTTTGTCTCTACATCCAGAAAAAAACCTCAAAAGGTTGCAGTTGGCCGAGTTACGCGTGTTCATTCAGTGGCAGGAAATACTGGGCCCAGCAGAGATCAAAATATCTTGGTTTTGAGTAGAAGGATATGCAGTCTGTCCATATTTACGTAAATAACATCAATTACAACTGTAAATATATTCACTCTTTGAGAACTCTTACTCTAAAATACTTTGTTAGCCAGGAAATACACTAGAGAAGCAGATTAGGTTAGGAATAAATAACAAAACTTGCATCCATGCCATTTTGAGCTGTCCCAAGGCCAGCAAATCCAATGAACTGAAGCCATTTAAGCCATGTGAGTGCCTCCTATTACAGTTTTACGAGGTTTATCTTCAGGCAGTCCAAAAGTGTGGTAAGTAACTGCAGGAGAAAAAAAGGGAAGGAGTCAAATCGGAGATGGGAAATGGCAACACAGAAGAGAAGCTGCTTAATTAAAAAAAAAACCAAACAAGTTCTCCACCCTGTAAAACAGGAGCCTTTATTTATTACGCAAAAAATCAGTTTTGCTAGCTCCGTATCTTTAGCTTCTGTGTGATGGTTGGGGGCAATGTGTTCTTAAAGGTCATCGGTTTCCCACTGTCACTTAGGGCACTGTCATACGTTGACATTCAAAACAAGATGCCGACCACTTCGATGTATGCATCACTTCCTCCGGTGGCTCGCTCTTCCTGCTTCGACAGCTTGCCTGCCACCCCCATCCGCCCCCTTAAGAAGCTTCCCTAATTCAGTATAAAACGCACATGTCAATATTCATGCAGGCCTGAATAGAGGCTAGATGGAAGGCAATGCAATGATCCTAGTGAATTTTCTTTCTTTAGTATTGCCTGGAGCCTAAAAATGAAGCTGACTGCATCAGTAATATTCAAGAATTCTTGAAAGGCTGTGCACTCCTTAAAGTGGAGGTAAGTCAACTTGGATCCTTTTATTTATTGTCGTAACATGCTTGTTTAATCAGCCTTCTGAAAGGAAGCCAGATACCGGAGGGACGAAATCGGTAGTCATTCCTAATCTTTTGTATTAATACAAATTAGAGCAGGGATAATTTAATAGTCTGTCTGGAGAATCTGGAAATGGAGTGTATTGACTGTGAGCTTAACAGATTCCTTCTCGTCTTTTGAGACAAGCCTGAATGCTTGCAGCAGTAACAGGAGGTCTGTTGAAACAGAGTTAAGCAGTGTGGACCTGTTTACATTTATTTTTTTTTTCATTATTAGAGAGAAGGGATTGCAGGTTTTAGCCTTGCTTTAATCTGAAGGTGAAATACTCTTCATACTGCAGTATTTTTCATCCCCTTGCAACTGTTGCATGAGATTCTGCCACACACATAATATTAAATTGATCCTTATGCATAAAAATAATCCTAATGAAGACAAAAGACACCTTCTCAGTGGCTATCCCTGATCCTGTCTACATCCTGACTCTATGCTTAAGCATAGCTCATATTTGCAAGATCAGAGTCTAAATGAATCACTTAAGAGTTCAGCTAATTTTGCCATCAAATTTTTTACTAAGTGCATTAAGTGCATATGGATTTAAAATGTAAAGACTTTTGTATCATGCTTAAATTCCTAGAGTAAAAAAGAAACCTGTAACTAAGAGCCATCACTGTCTCATCTGAAATACACTCAACATTGTGGAAAAAAAAAAAATTCTGAAGACAAATTCTGCCAGAAGCAGGGACAGCATTCTTGGGCATTATACAGAATATTCATGCACCACAGTGAGGGAAGTCCAACCCATGGCAGTTCCGTTCCTGCGCCTTTCCTTTGAAGGTCTAAACAAGCAAAGAGCCTTTCTTCTCTTCAGAGCTTTTTATCTAACCAGCATGAAAATTTGCTCATTCCAGAACTGTTTCACTAGCCTGTTGTTCCCCAGTAATGCATTTCTCAGAGCCTGCTGCAGCAGCCCCGTTTTGAGAGCAGATATATATAGAATCCCTGAAGGCCTATCGCATCAGAAATCAGTTGTTGCCAGTCTTCTGGTACTGACCATGTGATTTCCTCCGTTTTTCAGAGGGCTTATTTTTCTATCTGAAAACTAATGACAATGGTTGTGGTGGAAAATACTGAAAAATAGGAGTCTTAAACAGCTAAAAGATAAGGCAAGGGAACAGTCGCCAACTGTTGTGCTTCAATGTCTCATAGTTTTGAAAGCCAGTTCTGCAATATTGCAGTCACACTCCACAATTTTCAGATACTAGGAACTAGCAACATTGTGTGTCCAGCTCTGTGTGTTGCTCCAATCCTCCCTGCGCCTTTCCTTCCTTGGTTTTAATTTAAGAAAAGGTTTCTGACTTCTTTTTTCTTCTGATTTATAACCCCCTTAATCTTTGAAATATTCTATCCCTTCAGTAACTTCCCTAGCACTCATGTCATTGCCCCTGTCTTGGTTGCTGTGAAAGGAGACCTCAAAAAGCTGAATAAAAGCTCAAATCTCTCAAGCTCAAGTTTAAATTTCGCAGCGAAATGAAAATTATTTCTTCTTATTTTTTTTTCCAAAATACTAAGTTGTATTAGAATGCTAAGTGAAGATGGGAATTTTGCTTCTTCCTGGCTCCTCTCTGTAGCCTCAGGCAGAGGAATGCTTGAGGTAGGAGAGCTGAGATGGTGGGCAAGACATGGCACAAGTCAGAGTCCTTATGCTTCCCTCTGGCTCTTCTCCTCCCGTGTTGCCAGCTCTTCTGAGTGCTCTGAAGGCAAAGCCAGAGGAGACATGAAAAACCTCCTCCATCTGCTCCTTCTAAATGCTGCCCTGTTTGGACCCTCTTGGCAAAGAGACTCTCGGAAGCATACCCACGGGTAGTCCTCCCTCATACCTGATTCTTAGTTTGCCTTGGGAAGGGCCACTGCCCTTCAGAGGGGGTTCCTCTGCAGGACATTGACTCTGAAAGCACGTTTGGAGCATCAGAACAGGCAGGGAACCTTCTGGTTCCAAGATCTGTCGGCAGGGAAGTTGCAGTGATCTGGTGTTATGTCTAGGGAAGATGAGCATAGGATGGAAAATCTGTTTTGCTCCAGTAACCTAGCTTGAGTAAGGAGAAACGTCAGGAAAGCTCTTGGCTTAATAGGTTTGAATTCCCTGACTGCCATCCTGCTGCTTACCCAGACTTTGTATTTGACAGTAAAACCCTAGTGGTTCTGTCAAATTCTGCCCTTCTCCAAGTTCCACGGAGAACTCTTGTTCCTTAGATATGAAGAAGTAGCCTGGGACTGAATATGAGCCACTTCTCCTGTCTTTGAGTTGTTAAGGTCAGAGATTCTGTTCCTGTTGCAGATGTGAGCAAAAGAGGATGTTCTGAGGAAATTCAGAGCTTAGAACTACTCTGGAGACTGACTTGTCCAAAAGGCCTCATCCTGGGAAATCTCAAGCGTGAGAAACTTCATACATGACATTAGCAGCCAATCCTAGCATCCTGGGGCTTCACTGTACTTTGCCAAAGCAAATTTGCCTTAAATTTGTTCTTGTTTCTGGATACCAGGTGCCCACCAAAGCTGCTCTGTCACTCCCCCCACCCCCCAGCTGGACCGGGTAGAGAAAATATAGCAAAAATCTCGTGGGTCAAAATCAGGGAGAGATCACTTCGCAATTACCATCACAAGAAAAACAGACTTGACTTGGGGAAATCAGTTGAATTTATTACCAATCAAATCAGAGAAGGATAATGAGACATAAAACCTAAATCTTAAAACACCTTCCCCCACTTCCCTCCCTTCTTCCCGGGCTCAGCTTCACTCCCCATTTTCCCTGCCTCCTCCCCGCCAGCGCCGCAGGGGGATGGGAATGGGGGTTGGGGTCAGTTCATCCCACGCTGTCTCTGCTCCTTCCTCCTCAGGGGGGCACTCCTCACTCCCCTCCCTTGCTCCAGCCTGGGGTCCCTCCCACGGGGTGCAGTCCCTCGGCCTCCGTGGCTGCAAGGGCACAGCCTGCCCCACCATGGGCTGCACCAGGGGCTGAGGGGAATCTCTGCTCCGGCGCCTGGAGCACCTCCTCCCCCTCCACTGTCTGCAGAGTTGTTCCTCTTACATATTCTCACTCCTCTCTCTGGCTGCAGTTGCACAGGACTTTTTTCCCCCTTCTTAATTATCCCAGAGGTGCTACCACTGTCACTGACGGCTCGGCCTTGGCCAGTGGTGGGTCCATCTTGGAGCTGGCACTGGCTGCATCAGACATGGGGGAAAGCTTCTGGCAGCTTCTCACAGGAGCCACCCCTGTAGCCACCCCTGCTACCAAAACCTTGCCACGCAAACCCACTACAGACGTAGACGTTTGAATAGCTGCCATTTGGAGCTGAATACATCACTGAGCTTTGCTAGCGTGCAGGGAAGGTGATCAGTGGGCCAGGTAGGGTTTCCAACAGCATTCAGTTGAAACCCGAGTTGCATCTTCCACTGAAGGGGTCCTGCTTGCCAATCTCCTCCAGTGGGAGGGCACACGAAGAGGTTACTCCTGCAGAGCTACATGTACGCGCTTCCCTCCTACCCTTCTTTGTTGTCCTGGTAACTCAATCTTAGGAAATGGAAGACAGACACGGCAAGGCAAACAGCACCTTCTTCCATTTTGCAGGAACAGTGAAAGATTTGGACATAGTTGAAGGGAGGGAGAAGGATACTCTGTGACCTTCCTGCTTTGAGGTGGCTCCATTAAGTTGCAGCAGCTCTACGGGCTGGTGGTGTGAGCTGGAAGAGTCCATCTCATTGCAGGGTATAAATAACCAAACTCTTCCTTAGCTTCAGCCCAGGACTGAAGCCTGAGAAGATTTGTTGCTTCATATGTGTCAGTCCTAAAAGAGAAGACAAGCAGAGGAACCAACACCACCTTCTAACTAGACAAGTGCTGTAATTAGGTGAAACAATGAGACCATGTCTAAAATTTCCCAACTGCTTTTCAGTGCTAGAATTTGATCCAAGTCATAAGAATGTCTATTGGCCCAGCTCTGCTGAGACAGAGGACTGGGCAGAGGATGCAAGCACCTCTTTGGAGCTTAACTGTCCTTAAGGGACTCTTTGGAGTGAGGAACAGTGCAGGTAACCTGGCTATGCCTCATTTACCCTATGGCTTCAACCTCTGAGCTGTGTGTATGACCCAGGATCTGGTCCAGTGAGTCAATACTGCTAAGGTGGTGGCAGCTGACAGCTGGAGATGTGAAGGCAAGAGGCTCAGGCCTGGTGGCCAGGTGGAGTCTACTTTAGAAGATACAGGGAAAAGATCATGAGGGGATAAATGGGAACTGGTAGTCTTTGCTTTTGCTGTTGGCACCGCTGTGGAAATAATAACAGCAGCTCAATAGCTGAGCATCATTTACTGCTGAAGAAGCACAAGACCTTCATTCAGCAGCAGCATTTTATTGCTAAAACGACCACAAAACTTCTGGCAAGGGGCTGAGTCCTGTGAACTAAGAATGGTATCTGCAAGATAATTCCATAGCTGGATTAAACCCGACCATCCAGAATGATCATAGAGCATGCAGCGTGTCGTTGACACCGTGGGCAGAACTGAAGTTATTTCTGCAGTTGGAGGTGTTTGCATCCTTCACCAATCTGTACTTGGACAGAGGTCTGGAGAAGGCTGATGAAAAATCATCCCCCCCTTGGCTCCCCATCCCTCTGCTCCCAAAGCCTGCTCTACTTTGTCTTCCCTCCTGGTTTCCTGGCTGGGTAATGTCAAAACTGAAAGCTCCAGCCCAGTGCCAACCAGTGCAAGCACTAGGGAAAGGGTAGGTCTGAACTCAGAGTGACCCAGTGTCCCAAAGACCTGCGGCCCACAGGTGTGAGGGGTGTCTCTGACACCCCTGCATCCCTCCGTGGCGTTGGGACCTGCAGCCAGGCTTCACCCTGGATCTCAGTACAGCGCTTCTTTCCCCTTCCATGCTGCAGCCTGCTGTTGCACTGAAGTGTCCCAGGATTTCACGTTCCCTGCAGGAGCGTGTTCCCCAAACAGATGGGCACGCACAGCAGAGGCCCCGTGCTCACCACGGCAAGGACATGCTGGCTCTGAGAATTCACTGCCTGCACCTCATCTGCAGGCCCTTCTGCAGCGTTTTTCTTCTCAGTGGTGCAAACCAGCTGTAATTACCATTTCAACAGCCTGGATTTTCCTTTCTTTTCCTATCCTATCCCACTCACTTTTCCTGTTTCTTTTTCCTTTTCCTTCTTTCCCTTTAATTTTCTTTTTCCCTTTCCTTTCTTTTTTCTTTTTTCCCTTTTCCTTTCCTTTTTCTTTTTTTCCCTTTTCCTTTCCTTTTTTATTTTCCTTTTCTTTTGTCCCTTTTCCTTTCCTTTTTTCCCCTTTTCCTTTCCTTTTTCCCCTTTTCCTTTCCTGTCTTTCCTTTCCCTTCCCTTCCCTCTTTCCTGATTTACTTTTCCCCTCTTCCCTTCCCTCTTCCCTCCCCATGGCCTTTCTCCTCTTCCCTTTCCCATCTCCCTTTCCCCTTTGCCGTCCCTCTCTCCCTGCCTCCCGCCCGCGGCCGGCGGAGG